CCTTGGCGTTGCTTGGTATCTGTCTCCCGTCTGTCTGTGTGTCTGTATCTATGCTGTTCTTTTTATGATGTAGAAGCAATCAGATACTTCTAATTCATAGCACCCTACTCTGCATTGAAGAACAAGGATGTCATCATGGTATTTTCTCGTGCCTCATACGCATGTAAAAGGTGGACGTTGAATAAGAAAGGCTGAAGAAGAGTCAATACACTTGCATCCCGATGCTGGTGAAGAATATTGAAAGCACCGTGGGCGGTCCTAAGAACAAACAGATCTGACTTGAGAGAAGTAGGCATGCTCCTTAGAAGGTAGGATGGCGAGACTTCCTGCCACACCCTTTGGATATGGTATCCAGGAGTGGCCGATCCCTGGAGGAGAACTTCATGCTTGGGAAAATCCAAGGGCGGCCAGATTGAACAAGGCCCCCACAAGACGGGCTGCCACCGTGGCCGCCACATGGGCTCAAATAGAACAACAGTGAGGAGGGAGCAGGACCGGGCTGGCGGTGTTTCCCTCCACAGTTCCAAGGGTCCCCTATGGGTCAGCAGTGACCCCACGGCACCTAACAACAACCAGGACGATGGCATGGCCTTATTAACAGAGCCAAGAGCATCCCTGCTCCCATCACAAAAGAAAACCGAGCGGGTCACCACACACAGATGTCACACCCAGCAGGTGCGGCTGCCAGGACTGTCTGGCATGTCTTGGGGGGACTGGGTTCAGTCCTTAACACGAAACTCACAGCCAGCAAGTCATAGGGGCCCCTAGAGGACCGAGCTGAAAAGCCCCCTGGAGCTTCTGAGGCTCTGCCCCCTGAGAGGGGCCGCCACCTCATCTTCCTCCCAGGGATACGCTGGTGAGTTTACACTGCCCACCTTGCCGTGAGCTACCCAACGCTTCACCCAGGAGTCTTCCCAACACCACTATCGTTAATTCTGCAAGATAATCGGGGAAGTTGGCTTACTTTAGATCAGTGGTTCTCAACCTGTGGGTCGCTACCCCTTTGGAGGCCAAACGACCCTTTCACAGGGGTCACTTAAGACCATCAGAAAACACATATTTTCTGATGGTCTTGGGAACCAAGATACCGCTCCTCAATCCGTCTCCAGGCAGTCCGCCCACATGCAGATACACCCACGTGGGAGTACCTGTGTGAAGACCCATGCTACACCATGCTTCAAGACAAATTTCATTGATTTGTCATTACAAATAAATATTTCGCAATATATAATTATATATTGTTTTTGTGATTTATCACTATGC